AGAACAAATGTGGAAACGTGGCTGTGGAAAAATGCATTTAAGAGAATGATGCTGAAAAAAATGAGGTTGAAAGAAATATAATGCATAATGTATACACAAGTAAAAAAGTTAAGTGCAAAGAATATCACCAGAAAGATCAAGGAATGCTAAAGATTAAAAGTGTGAGAAAATGAGAACAATTTTGATGAAATAAAAATTGTTTGGGGAGTGGATTAAGAAGCTAAACAATGAGATCCCTGCAGAGTTAAAAAAATTTTTTTTAAAAAAAGATACATTATTCAAAAGTCAAGTGAGGAAATGCTGGAGGAGGACTTTAGAGATTGTAAGGAGTTTGTCAGGGAATAAAAGTGAGAGATCCCCTTTGGTGTAAAGGTTAAAAAAATCAGGCTTGCAACTAGGACAATGTTGTATTCCCACTTTAGCTCTAAATCTGGCGGTGTAATCTTGAGCCAGTCCATTTCTCTTAGCCCCAGGAAAGAGGCAATGGCAAACTATTTCCAAAATCTTGCCAAGGACTTTTCTCGGTAGTCCACAGGAGTCATAAACTGATTAAAAGGCACCGGCTTATGCATATACACACATACTGAGTGTGTGTATAGAGATACACACACATCAGAATGGTGCAGAACAATAAAACTGTAGGTGTTGAAGGTTCAAAAGCAGAACATGTAAATACCCTTTGTATATACAGTTTTCATGTGCAAACAATGGATCTCTGCCTCAGGCATTGGAAGAATAGTGTTACTGTTCCTCTATACAGATGGAAAAGGCAGAAGAATAGAAAAGCAAAACTACAAGGGAATTAGATTGTTAGATGTACTTGGAAAAGTATTGGGCAGAATTCTAATTGATAAAGAGTATAACTACTGACAAGCAACAAAGTTTGGAAAATGATAAGTTTATCCTAGACGGGGGCCTTAGACACATATCAGCTCTTCAGAAATGTATGAAAAAATATATATGTTTCTTAATTTAGAGAAAAAATATAACACACGTAATCCTCGTACAATAATTCCTTTAAGCAATCGCTCAGAGTTACAATGGCACTGAATTACAACCAGTCCTTGCACTTATGACCATCACAGCATTCCCTACGGTCACATGGTTATAATTTTACGTATTTATGATAGTTGCAGTGTCCAGGCTCATGCAGTGTCCCGGCTCATTTGCCACATTCCCAGCCACCTTTCGACAAATAAAGTCTAAGGGGAAAGCTGGACTCACTTAACAACCACATGGTTCACTTAACAACTTTTACAAAATAGGTTATAAAATTGGGCATGACTCATTTAACAACTGCCTTACTTAGTAACAGAAATTTTGGATCTGATTGTGGACCTAAATTGAAGACTACCTGTAATGTAAATAGAATTATGGCATGTTTTGCATATGTTGAAGGCTGCTTGCTGCATAGTATAAGTGTGGTACACGATGGAGGTAAAAAAAAATGTACAAGAATAACTGGAATCCTCAGAAAAATGGTTTAAAAGAACAGGCTGCATGTGGATAATTATATCAAGAATGCTTGTAATCATATTAGATATGAACAAAGAAGGAAATACAGTGTGGCTTGGAAAATTGGGCTTGGCTAATCTGGTAGGAACATTGTTACAGATGTCATTATATGTACACGTTTGTATTCAGATGATTGTAGGTTGTTGTCTGAGAACCAGAATGACCTACAGTAGAGTGTACTATTCAAATGAGAATATTGATCTGAAAATTAAGGTATCAAAGGCCAAAGTAGTTGTGTTTGACAGGCAAAATGGGATGAGTGATTGCAAGTTATATAAAATTTAACAAAAAACTAGAGCAAACCTATCCATTTGTGTACGTTAGATGGTCTTTTGTTTACAGGGGGGGAAAATGGCAAAAGGGTTGAATAAATTTTAAAGCTGGGTAAATGTCAGCAATATGCAATCTTTTGTGAGGAATCAATATTTGTCAGAAGAAGCTCCAACAAGCCGTATGTAAGAGGATGCTTCTGACCACTTCACTATATGAGGGTGGGGTATGTCAGGAAAAACATCAAATGAAGTTGAGTAAAGTAGGCATCAAAGCATCAGGAGTGGACGGATGCTGCATGAATGATGTCTGAACAGCAAACGTGAACAAGCAGTATGCAAACAGTAAGTTGAAGTATTTGATCATGTAGGATGAGTGGAGACGGAATTGCAAAACAAATATATGACCTAATAGCGATTGGGTTAAGAGGTAGGGACAGAAAAATAAAGTGATATTTGGAGAGAATTGTGGAAATGCTGAAAACCTGAAAAAGGCAGAGGTGAAAAGTCTAAAAATAAAAAGAATTGCATGTATTGGTGTATGGGCCTAATAGAAGAAAGAAAAGATTTCAAGGATAAATTTGTACTGCATAGAGATTGGATTTGCTTTAAATTATTTCAACTTCATTTTTTTTTCCTTATCTGATACCTTTAATATCGCTAGCTTACCATTCCTTCCTTTTTTTCTGCCTTCTGAATAAAGTTGTTTCTTCTGACAGGGAGGAGCTGAGGGATATTTATAGATGTAAAAGTGTGTCGGTTTTGTATGTGTGTGTGGTATGAATGGATATAAAGTATGAAGCCAACATTGTCCAAGATTAAGCAATAGCTTTTATATAGCTTTTATATATCTTTTTTTATAACATTTCAGCAGAAAGACATTCCATATATAGAATGGTTCCACTTAGCTTCCCCCGCTCCCAAAAACATTAAAACATTTAAGACAAATAACTTAATGTTGCAGGATCCAATCTGGGTCGGTCACCAGGACCAGAGGTTTTGTCTTCTGAGCTTTCGGACTCGTGCTGGAGCCCGTCTTCCGGAAACTTCTCTTTAGCTTTCTAACTTCTCTCTCTCTAAATAACTAAATGTATCCACTGTGTTTTGCATCCTGTTTATCTTCCTACATAAAATACTTCCTTAAGCGGTAATTAAATATGTCTGTTAAAGGAATTAGGAGGGTATACTTTAAGATTTATTCAAGAACTGGAATATTCTCTTTACGGGAAAGAAGCATCCATCTGGCCTTGTCTAGTCTGGTAAGCAAAGCAGGTTCAGGACTGAATGATAGGATGTTTCCCAGACAATATCACAGCAATAAACAAGATTGGGAAGAAAACAGCATCAAACACTTCCATATCATCATTTTAAAAACAAAATAAAGCAAATAAATAAATAAATAAACCCTACATGAAACCACCACGCCATCAGGAACTAATATTTAGTCTTTAACACAATCTAGAAAAAGCAATATTACCTAAGAAGTATAACTACTTTATTTCAACTTCAGATGAATATTTAAAAGGATTGAAGATGATTCATATTTTGCTTTGCGTAGAAAAGTCAAATCACTGTCAATTAAAACGTAAACTAAGTAAGTTATTCAGGAACAGTCAAGAGTCTTAAATCCTATGTAATTTTAAAACTAAAACGGCCAAGCCAAGGTTGTAAAACTGATTTAGGAAATAATGTGCAGTGAAGAAACTGGGTTTTTTTTTTTACTCAAAATATACTGTACAAATAATTAAAATTTAATAATAATTAAAAAAAACCCCCACACTCGTGATCCAAAAGAATTACAGCTTGTTCTCTGGGAACCTGTAAATGCCCTATGACAGTGATGGTTAACCTTTTTGGTGCCGAGTGCCCAAAGTGTGAGTGTGCGAATGCACGCACATGTGCCCGAACACCCAAAATGCAATGTGAGTGCCCCCTGCACATGTGCCCCAACCCCACGCCCCATCTCCATGCATGCACACGCAACCCCGGGTATGCATCCTGTTTTGGCTTCCACATTGGTGCAGGTGGCTTTCCAGGCCCAAAACAGGGTGCGTGGGGACCTTGCACGGTGCTCCTGTGCCCCATTTTGGCTTCCAGGTTGGTGCAGGAGGCTTTCCAGGTCCAAAATGGGGCACGAGCCCCCCCACACACCCTGTTTTGGGCCTGGAAAGCCTCCTGCACCAACCTACACTCCCCCATGCATGCCCCCTTCCCCCCTGCGCATACACATGTATGTCACCCACATGCACCCCACCCCCCACACATGCACGACAGAGACCTGAAGACCAGCTGGCCAGTGGGAGGCACACACCATGCGCCATGGAGCTGGGCTGGGGCGAAGGTTGGCATGCCTGCAGAGAGGGCAGGCATAGGTTCGCCATCACGGCCCTATGATAATCCTTTTGCCTTAAATGGATGGTGTACTTTCACTTTAATTAACTTTAATTAACAATAGCATAACTCAGTGAGGTTGATTCATCTGTCACATGTTCACAAATCCAAGAGACTCACTGGTGAAATGGAAACAAATGCCTTGGAAAAAAATAGTATTCCTGTCAGCATTTTGATAAGGAAGTGTTCTGCCCCACTATGGACCCCAAAGAACGCAGCACAAAATCTATACAAAGCTTATTTTACTCAAATAACTCAATCTTTTTCAACCACAGGCTGTTAAGAAACTTTCTTAACAGCCTACAAGAATTCTAATCACAGTCTTACTAGAGTTGGCAGAAAGCCCAGAAGCAATTTTGCAGAGAATCCAGACACAAAGGAGAATGAACTAAAGTTGTTCCCTACAGCTTGCTGCAATCGGCATTCCTCCTTAAATAGGCTAAGGGAGTGGCCAATTAGCCCCAAGCCTTACTCTCAAGGAGACCTCCTCCTGAGGAGCCACTCCTGCCTTTTGGCAGCTCTGCGTGCCTGTGCATTGAGAAGAGGCTCCTCCTCTTCGTCCTCTTCACTTAAAGGAGCTTCTGGAGGTTCTGAAGGCCCTGGCTGAATCCCTGCCTCTGGCACCACATCTTCTCCAGCCTCCTCACTGTCCAACTTGAGCGCCAGCTGCACAGGCTGCTGGCGCAGCACCACACCAGCCTCCTCGTTGTCAGAATCAGCTACAATCTGCACAGGCCACTGATGGGCCACAACAGGAAGTTACATGAGATACTAAAATATATCCCATTTGTTTTTAAAATAAATACATCCAGTGTGTTTCCTTACCTAAGCATCTTGTTTCAGTTCCACTCCATAGTCCAGAAGAGAGACATTCTCTTACTGCTGAACCCACCAGCATGAATCCTAGGTCACAAGTAAAGATAGCAGTCGAGCCATATGTAATCTGTGTTCCAATTTTATTCCCATTTGGAGGTGTAGGAAGTTCTCCACAGGAAATAACTTTGAAAAGAAGAAATATACGTATTTGCAATATATGTCACACTCATACCAATAGCAAAATTAATTAAAAAATATTTTTTTAAAAAAATAGCAATGACAATAAAAATGTTAAAACCTTTAGGACTGGCTAGGATTAGACCCACTTTGAAAAAAAAAAACAACTTTAGTCTGAAGTGTATTTTAAACAGTGTGTAGGTAAAATGACAGAAAACAACACTGTGCTGTATGAAATAAAATTGATTCTGTGATTACTGATAGGTCTGATTCTGAAAACTACAGAGAATAAAACTGGTGAATGTGCTTTATTTTAAAACCACAAGCATCAAATGATTATGTTGGCTTTATGGAGGCTTCAAGGATATTCTTGTGTAGTTAAAAGTTTTACTGATACAGTCCATGGGATTTTTTTCCCCAACAGTAATGCCAAGATGAGGATAATAGGCTTATAATCCTCATATGAAAAATCTTCCATATTGAAAAAGGATTATAAGATTCAGTTCACTGGTCTTCAAGACGAACACAAGGATATTGGAATTAAATGACTATTGAATATAAGAATCAATAAGGACCTGGAGCTAGTTGAATATGAATGATACCGCCAGACAATAATATTTGTAGTTCAGGGTTGAACAGTGAGGTCCTTGGTGCTCTCTGAGCTTGGCTGTTTTCTTGTAGACATTTCACTACCAAACTAGATAGCATCATCAGTGACAGGAGGGAATGGGGTTTACTCTCTATTGATATACCAGTAGTCAGTGTTTCTGGGAGTGTTTTTGAGGATTCTTTGATTGAACTGTTGTTTACTGTTAGCTTGTTTGTTTGAGTCGGAAGTTTCTTGATTGGGGTATTGCTTACAGGTAGTCTTTAACTTCTGACCACAATTGAGCCAAAATTTCTGTTGCTAAAACAGTTGCTAAGTGAATTTTGCTTCATTTTACAACCTTTCTTTCCACAGTTGTTAAGTGAGTCACTGCAGTTGTTAAGTTAGTAGCATGATTGCTAAGTGGCTTCCCCTTTGACTCTGCTTATCGGAAGGTCAAAAAGGTGATCACATAACTACAGGACACTGCAAGCATCAAAAGTGAAAGTCAGTTGTAAAGTGTCTGGATTGTGATCAGGTGACCAGGGGATGCTGCAATGGTTGTAAGTATGAAACATGTTCATAAATCCTTTTTTTGGTGCCACTAAATGAACTGTTGTAAATCAAGGACTACCTGTTCTTCTTAATTGTTGGTCTAGTATTAATCTTGGTGTTAATCTCTGCCTATCTGGATGTTGATTGCTGGTGAGGATGTGTTTTGGGTTTGAATACGGATAACTAATAGTAGAATACTTACTTTGGCAGTATGGCCTCTCGTTTCTCCAGCTCCAAGTTCCATTAGGAAGACATTCAATGGATTCTGGTCCCAATCCATGGTAGCCAGGATCACAGCTAAAAACTACTTTTGTTTTGTACTCGTAGTGAGAACCATTCACTATTCGCCACCTTCCATGTTCCAGGGTAAATGAATTAATGCTTGGGCAGGTAACAACTTGAAATGGAAATTAAAAAAAAGAAAAAAAAGAATATATTTTGAGAGCTTCACACCGTCAATCCATGATATTAGTTTATGTATTAGGACATGAAACTTAATCTCAATTCATAAATTAAACCGTTGCATAGTAATCTGTAGATTGTAGCTAATTCTGGTTTTATTTCAGCTTAACATTTTTATTTTTTTTTTTGCTGCAGAGAATGTTTGTCTTATTGCTCAAAATAATTAATTAGTGGACCACATATTAGTGTTTAAACATGTTTGTTTATTTGATCAGGAATATGTTCCTTATATAAATGTTTCTGGAATTCAGATGATTATCGTACATCTTGAAGCAGGATATTCATATTTTAAAATGAGAATTCCTGATTTAACTTTGGACTGCTAAATTATTAATATCAGCAGAATCGTATCACAAGGGTCTATCCATAATTACTCTTTCTGTCAGAAAATGAATATATGTCATAACCTGTGGTGGAGTTCAAATTTTTTTACTACCGGTTCTGAGGGTGTGGCTTGGTGGGCGTGACTTGGTGGGCATGGCAGAGAAGGATACTGTAAAATGTCCATTCCCTCCCCAATCCAGGGGAAGGTTACTGCAAAATCCCCATTTCCTCCTGATCAGCTGGGACTCGAGAGGCAGAGAATAGATGGGGGTGGGGCCAGTCAGAATTTTTACTACCGGTTCTCCGAACTACTCAAAATTTCTGCCACCAGTTCTCCAGAACTGGTCAGAACCTGCTGAAACCCACCTCTGGTCATAACTAACAAGAGAGCTTTTTCCCTCCTAACACTATCCTTGGCTGTAGGATAGAAAACCAGATTGCACAAACAAGTGACAAAACTTCGCAACTGTAATTACATCTTATTTCTTCTATGCTTATATCTATTTGGATTGTATTCAATACTGAAAATAATAAGAATACTTCGCCATATTTAAATAATGACCACTTAGAGCTCTAAAAGACGGCCTACCTCCAATAATTCACACAACATATTTATTTATTTATTGGTTCGATTTATATGCCGCCCTTTTCCGGAGACTCAAGGCGGCTTACAATGCGTTAAGCAATAGCCTTCATACTTTTTTATACACCTGCTTAGTAGGGCTTTTGGCCCCCCCAAGCAGTGTTCTTTTTTATACAAAGTCAGCTTATTGCCCCCACAATCCGGGTCCTCATTTTACCTACCTCGAAAGGATGGAAGGCTGAGTCAACCTTGAGCCTGGTGAGATTTGAACTTGCAGTAATTGCAGGCAGCTGGTGTTACTTAACAGCAGTTTAGTTTGCTGCGCCACCAAGGCTCTTTCCCTATCTTTTCTAGGTTAAAGGCTTTTTCCTCACTATGTGCTATTGGCTTAAATGCCTTTACGGTGATGTTCCACACATGGAGATCTTCACAGTTTTTGGTGCACTTTTATGAAACAAGTTCTGCAAGTTCTGGCTTAAATAGACAGTAACAGTAACAGAGTTGGAAGGGACCTTGGAGGTCATCTAGTCCAACCCCCTGCTCACACAGGAGACCTGTACTAGGGATTCGAACCACCGAACTGCCAATCTTGCTGACCAACAAGCTCTTCTTTTTCCTCTCTGTTATACTCACTTTGATTTTAATTTCCCAATTACCTATTTTGCTTTATCTATTTTTTATTCTTCCTTGTCAAATGGTGGCATCCAGATATAAAAACAAAGAATGGATGGATGGTTGTAGATGTGTGTATATGTACATGTAGCATAGCAAAATCTTCTACACGCTTTGTGAATTTTGTCTGTTCCTTTATGAAATAAGCAACATTCTCTTACAAATGGAACATTCTTTCAATCATCATTATCGCCCTCATTACCATATGCATAACTTTTGGCAATAATTAAGTTCCGTTTTGTTCATTAAAAGAAAATGGAGCAAGTTTTGACTTGTCTTATTAAAGTTTGGGGCATAAAACATGCATTTTGTATTCAAAGGAGGATTCTATTTTTTTCTGTGCTTTTGATAAGTATATAGTCTCTCCCTCCAGCACTGTTTGTTTATTTCCAGTCTGATCATGATGATTTTGAATGTATAAATTCATTAAATGAATCAATAGATTCATTAAAAAAAAGGCTTCTCTGGTAGCTTGCAAAAAACAAAAGCAAACAAACAAAAAAGTCCAATCTAATATAAAAAAAAAAAACAATAACATTTGATAACAATTAGCCTGGAAGAGATTTTACAATGAAACAATGTAAATATATATAAGATTCACAATTCCCAAACATTCCCAGCATTGAAAAATGACCAAGCAGTTAAAATCTATAATTTTAGCTGCCTTGAAAAAAGACCATCAGGAGGAAGTCTATCTGGTAGGTGCCAAGCAATTTTTCCAAACACAATATTGAAATGAGAAGGTCCTCATCTATCTATCCAAGGGGTGTCAAACTCTATTTCATTAAGGGCCGCATCAGGGTTGTGTTTGACCTTGAGGGACGGGAATGTGGGTGTGGCCAGGGTGGTTGTGGCCAGCTTGACATCACTCGTGTTGGGGGTGCCTGTGATGGCCTGAGCGCTGTGCAGTGAAAACGGTCTCCTGAGCTCCATTTTCTCCTGCAACCCTCTGCCAGTGAAAAAGGAGTTCGGGAGGGCCGCATGTGGCCCTCATGAGCTCTGTTTTCAGCCACGACAGCCTCCCCAAATTCCACTTTTGCTGGCAGAGGACTGAAAACAGAGCCTGGAAGGGTCACATGCAGCCCTTCTGAGCTCCATTTTCATTGGCAGAGACACCACGGACCAGTTCTTTGCTGTTTCCAGGGCAGTCTCATGGGCCAGATCTAAGCACCCCGCGTGTCTTAAGTTTGACACCCTTGATCTATCCTGTCAGCTTCATTGGTATTAATGAAGGATTCTCAATGATGTTCAAAGAGTTTGGACAGAAGTATATACTGTGCTTAAACTGTTCAGGAAAATAAGCCTTACTTTATTTTGTGACTATAAAGGTTCCTAGTATTTAAGCTACACAAGGTGTTTTTTTTTTGTTGTTTTTTTTTTGAAACTCTGTGTGTGGTTATAGGAAGTTTATATGAATTAAAGCTGGTGTAAGGTGAAATTACACAGAATTCAGACTACAATAAGTCTGGTTCCATCTCTTCTGACTAATGGTGTTTTTTTTAAAAAAGGCATAAGATTTTATGAGATGCAGTTGTAGCATAGCATAGCATACTTTATTGCGATCATAGACCAAAAACCAAAACATCCAAGACACATAGCTGGCACATGACCAGACTGAAGTGCAAAACAGCGACAAGATCAGTGGTGAAAACCGCTCCGTCAAACTCACAATTCGTGTATTTTAATTTTTTCCCTCCAATCTATATGGACTATAGTCGATTAAAATTGTACATTGGTAGAAAATTCTATATTGAGATGCAGCTGTATAGAATTGTTAGCTGGAAAAAATTCTTCCAGCTGTGTGATTTCTCTCTTACAGAGAATGTTTGGGGAAAAAAAAAAATCTCCTAACAAACTTTTTTTAATCCCCAAATGTTATCTGGTACAGGTAGTTCTTACCCCACTGACACTTCAAAAGGCTGATAAACCGGACAGTCATTAAGTGAGCATTAAGTGAGGACAATCTGCAATGATATATGTTCCACGTTCATTAAGTTTTTCTTTGAATACAGGTAGTCCTTGATTTATGACCAGAATTGGGACCAGAATTTACCTTGCTAAGCAAGGTAGTTATTTGTTAAGTGAATTGCATCCAATTTTTTTGCCACAGCTATTAAGCAAATCACTGCAGTTATTCAAGTGAATCAGGTGGTCATTAAGCAAATCCAGCTTCCCCCATTGCCTTTGCTTGTAAGAAGCCCCCTGGGAAGGTCGCAAATGATAATCAGATGACCTCAGGATGCTGTAACCACCTGAGCCTAAATTTGACCACATAATCAGAGGGAGGCTGCAACACGCAACTCTAGTAAGTATGAGGACTGCTGATAAGTCATCTTTTTCAGTGCTGTTATAGCTTTGAACAGTCATCATTAAATGAATGGTTGTAAATTGAGGACTACCTGTACATACACTCACTTATGTCTATGGTATGCTTAGTATAGTATAGCCTTTATTGTCACTGTATATTATGTATACAATGAAATTGGTTCACTCATTATCTACAATCCTTTTAAATCTATAATCATTTGGAAAGTGAAACACTAGTAATGATCTTTAACTGTTTAACAACAAAGCAAAGAGGACCTTTCTAGGTTATGCTTACCTACACAGCGAGGTGTTTTATTATGGTTGCTCCATGTGCCATCTGGCTGGCAGGATGCAGTAGTTAGTTCCTTGGAGGATAGCCGGTACCCATCATTGCAAAAGTAAGTAACGTACGTGCCTACTAAGTAATCTGTAGTTAATATCCCACCATTTAATGGAGCTTTTGGAATTCCACAGGAGATCGCTGAAACATTAACACAGACAGGCAAAATGTCATTCAACTACACTGGCAAATTCAATTTCTATATATATTATTTCTAATATTCAAAAACAGAGCTGTAATTCAAATATGAAAATTTGATTTCAGAGTTCTTAAAATTCTTAAAGATGTTTGGAAGGATTAGCAAGTTTGCAGGATTTGATTAAACGGGCAAACTTGATTTCTATGTTTATTATCTCTAATATTCAGAAATAAAATTGTAATTCAGATATGAAAATATGACTAAAAATGCCTGGCAGGATTGCAGCATCAAAAATAATGCATCATTCAGACTTTTTTTCTTTTCTTTTTCACAAATTAGTTTCTTCTGTGGTGGAATGTAGTCTGATTTCTTCTGTGGTGGAATGTAGTCTGGATTCCAGGAGGGGGGGTGTATTCCAGAGGAGCAAGAGACAGCAAAGTTTAGATAGTATTCTTGGCAGGAAGAAGGTCAAGACATGTCCTCCGTAAAGGTTCTCAAAATATATTTTTAATTATGCAAGTAATCTGCTTTAATTTGGCAAGATTTCGTCTATACATGAGGAACAATTAAAGGAAACTGCTTAGAAGAAACTCAGCATGTCTTTCTTAGTTTTTGGTGCTTGACATCATCAAACTTCACTTCATTGTCCCTTTGCAGTGTCTGAAGCCAGAAAAACTCCCAATCTATACAATAGGCTTAAGTTCCAACTACTTAGGATTCAAATACTTTCATGTCTTTCTGGCTCTATTAGATTATTTTTCTTCAGAACTCTTACATTTCAGATTGAAAATTTGTTTTTATTAAACAATATAGTAAGTATTATTTATTTAGTCATCAAAAGGTTGGCTTCTTTTAAATATGATTGAGAATATAACTGCTTTGGGCTTTTGAGCAGAATGGGACCAATTGAAAGAAGAGAACTACCTCAGTGCCAACACAATCTTCCAGAAGTTGAAAACTCAAGGAAATGCAAAGGCATCACGATTGGAAAGAATGATTTCCCCCCCCCCCCGAACAGAAAAAGTGGAGCAGGTTCTATAATGATGTTTTAGAAGAATTCTTGTTTCACTCCCATATAAAGGCTTCAGGTGATATGTTCAACTGCTTGCTGTTTTTATTACAAAGAACCATTTCAAAAGGATATGCTGCTGTAGTTTTTACTAGCTGGCTAATTTAGCAGCATAGCATCACTACTGGTCTCTGGCAATCATTTGGTGAATAACACATTTTTTTTTCCTCCCAATACTTTCTTTTGCAAATTATTTGCTCTATTTTCTTACTGGGTTAGACTAGCAGAATATTTCTTGATACCATTTCATTCAAGTAGTTTCCCATAAAGGTTTTCAGCATTCTGTCAGAAGTGTTATTCATTTCCCTCAAAAAATAGAATGCCTCAAACAATACAAACTGAAGACCAAGGTCAGCCTATTCACTTCCCCATCTCTTTTATAGCTTTGAATTTTATACCTGCCAATCAGCATTGATAGAATAATTTATAACACTGAAAAGAAACAAAAGAGATTATTTGTTCAAGTTTTGAAACGATGCTTCCTTGTCACTGATGCTTATTTAATAGACACGTTTTTTAAGAAGTTAATACATTCTGTGTAAGGGGAAATGCAATAGATATGTATGTGTGGAATATTTCCCCCCCCCCCCACTTGCTAGAGAATTTTCCTGATGGTAAAAATAAAATCTCTGTGTCTTTGTATGTGCATATTTCAAAACCAAGTCCAATAAAACAAACTAGTTCAATAAAACTAAAGCAAAGGGGGAACTACTGATTTTGAAGTCATTAAAAGTATTCTAGGACCCATAGAGAATCATCCTTGGAAGAGTTCATATAAGAATCCATCTGCTTCCAACAATCTGGTGTTTGTAAAAAATAGCTGTTGAAAAAGACTCTATATTTTATTAGCCTCTTACTCCTATTTTACAACCCTAAGAAATAATGTTCAGTTTGCATGATGTGCAGTGTACATGTTTAAATAACATTGCATCAGTGTCAGGTTTAGGCTAAGGACAAATTGGCATTGGCTTAGGATGCCACCCCTCCTTCAGAATCATGCAAATCGTTACATCAGCAGATGGTAGCACCATCAGCCAAAGCAGACTAGGAATCTCATATACCCCTGAGTCAGCATTGAATTATACATAGCATTCCTCAACATCTTCTTTTTTCCAGCAGTGGGTACTGCTCAGAGGAATCAGGACCATCAGTTTGAAGTTCCATCCATATTGTTTAAAATGTTGATCTTACTGAATTCTGTCAGAATATTCATGAACTGGAATAGGGCATGGTAACAAGGTCAGCCAATGAATAGGCATAGCAACTAAGTCAGCCAATGAGGACTATTTGGAAACTGAAACTGGACGGAGTCTGGGTGTGGCTCTGTATTTAGCTCTGAGCTCTAAAGCTGCAAACTAGTCTGAAACCCATCTCTGCTGTTCTCTCCTCTGCCTGTGTTTTTTGCCTGTAATCCTCTACCACGTTGGGAGAATCTGCTGTTGGTATTGTTACATTTATATATAAAGAGAAGTTAATGAATTCTGCCAAATCAATTACCTGTGTGTGCTTTCTGGATTTGATTTTTGCAACAAACTCTGACAAATTCGCTTAGCTATTCATCAAATAGTAATTTTCAGGTGGTGAAGATAACATAAAGGCCATCTGATTACTTGTAATAATGGCAAGACTCAACACTCTTACTTTTGGAAATTATTCATCATAATTGAGGTAGCAAGACAAATAGAAAGCAAAGACATACTGATTTATGTAGTACCCTATCTCTGCCTGATAAAAGGGAACTCTCTTTCTGTTAATCTAAGATTAGAACCAGCACTTGCATTATCACCATTAGTGGACATACTTATCAAATCAATCAAACCAATCAAAAAGCCGAAAAGAGAACAAAAAGACCTAAACTCCTCCTCACTAGCAATCAAAACACCTCCTCACCAGCAATCAAATAAGCAGAGATTAACACTAAGGTTAATATGTCTATGTAGATTCTCAGTCATCTAGGTCATGGTTGTCCACACCCATTTACATTACTCTGGTGACCCTGACAACAAAGATAAACCTTCCAGGTGCCCTCAACAGCTTGCTAAAAGGATGCAAATAACTAGCTGTCTGCAAGGAACATAAATCCTTCCATTCCCCACCATTCGCTCAGAACTGAAGAAGCTTCTTAGATGAGAAGCGAAACATCTTCAAAGAAAAACCAGAAAGTCCTGTTGCTTCTTGAAAAAATACCTTTGGGACCAAGATTAATACTAGACAAAAGATAAGAAGTAAATAAAAGCTCAATCAAATAACTACCAACTCAGACAAACAGCCTAATCAAGGAACCACCAAGAACACTCCATCAATACTGACGGAGTAAGCCACTAGTACCATATATAAAAAGAGAGCAAACCCCACTCCCTTCTAGCACTGATGATGTTACCTAGCATGATAATAAAACATCTGCAAGAAAACAATCAAACTAGAGTGGGCCAAGCATCCCACACCATCATTATTAATTTATTATTTTTCAGGTTTCAAACAACTTCTGTATATAAAGAATGTCCAAGTCAAGAGTTATTTCCCTTTAATTGAATTAAAGGGAATCCAATATCTTTAATTGATCAAACTTTGTACAAAAACTATGCATGTTTTGAGCATTGTTTGGAAGAGGTATGGCAAAGTATGAGTTCAGCATCTCTTTGAAGCCATAACACTTTTTTTCTGATTTCCAAATGAGTTTGCCATAGGATGCTGCTGTATTAATGAATTGAATAACAGACATGGCTATTTTCGTACATCAAATACTCAGAGACACATTTGTTTTCCAGATTACATGGGAATCTAAAAAAGAGACATCTGTTTTAAAAATACATTGCTCTTCTCCTTGTTTCAAAACTTTTTTCTAAAATGTTTTTGAAGTGTACACTGAATATGCTACTTTCCTTTAGATTCAGAAAGATAAAAATAGATTTTTTTAAAAAATATCCAAGTTAATTTGTGGATTGATTCACAAATATAGGCACAGACAAAGGTTTTTATTATTATTATTGCTACTTGGGATTCCAAGAATTAGAATGAAAAAAAAAAAAAAATTCAAACAGTCCTGCAAAGCTAAACTAGAACAGAACAGAACAGAACTTTATAGGGCTAGGACAGACTGACCCCAAAACATTTTGCATATAGCTACATTATGCATGGATTACCAAGACATAACCAAGTCAAATAGATATAATTTAGAGACAGCTCAGCTAACAAAGTCACATTGTCCTTAAGTTCTCAAATACACCAGCAGAGCATTTTGCTATTTTTATAAATCGATAAATAATCAACATAAGTGTTTTAAAATAAACTTGATTTCAATAAATTTAAATGAGGCCTTCTGTTTGGAACTCTTTAGTCTTTTAAGAAATGGATCTCAGGAAATTTCAAATCCTGAAAATCATGCCTCCACCAGTAAATGTCTTGCATAAAATTGAGAAAACATTCTGCTGGCATTTTTCTATGTGCCTATTCACTTGTATATGTCTAAATTGCAAATGTTAACCATACATGTGTATTAATACATATTCATGCTTTAGGTGGGAAAATGCATTTGAAGGAAATTCATATTAAAAATAATGAGTGTTATTATGAGTGGTATAATATGAGTGGCAATATGCGATATAATTTTCATGAAGCTGGATATAATTGATTTCCAGACAATGCTGTATGAGACGAACATCAGCAAATATTCATTGTTTTATATGGCATTATTTGGAAATCATTTCACCAATTCATTAAGGATTATTTAAGAAGATTAGTTTGCCATTTAGATTAAGAATGACAATAATATTCCAGTCTTCTAGAAAACATTATATGCTTAATTAAACAATACAAAACAAAACATTAGTGATTAAATAATACTGCAGTTAATAATAATAAAATAATCACCAAACAATTGGAACGTCTTTTGAACACAATTGGCATTGACAAAATCACCATCAGTCAATTACA